CATGTACATATATGTATACATATACATGTATATATATACACACATATATGTATATATACCAACAGCTCGTCAATGTACGTTTTTCATTGTATCCGTTAAGAGAAAAACATAAAAGGAGTGTTTACCGAGTGCGAAATAAAATTGCGACACTTTCAAACACATGAAATATTTTCAAAGCACTGTTTCCCATCAACGTAAACTGACGTTTCTTGAAAAATATAACCACTTCTCGCAAGGCTTCTTGCAATTTGGCACATATTCCTTACGTCATCTATTCCACTGTGAAGTCGCCCCTAAAATAATCAAAAATATCCGTACCGAAAGTGAGACATTTATCGCTGCATTCACTCTCGCTAACGATACAGCTGGAAACTTTTTAATCCTGCTCTACTTTGGCTCACCGCATCCACAAAAATATGTAAATCCTTTCGTATCACTGAAGTGCTCATTTAACATAGCGAATGATAATTTCAAAAGCAGAATTGGCAGAAATGATTAACGTAGCTCATTGTACTAACATTTCTTTCAGCCAACCAAACTGCACAGGAACTTGCTAGGAGACGATCCAGTTCATGCAATCAGAAAAAGAGCGCAAATAAAAGCAAAACATTGCCAGAAAAAAACATGCCAAATGTTTCAGTTCCAAATCATGAAGCATAACAGTCATGGATTTGGCAAAATAACCCCGCGCTTTACAAAACGCTTTCTTCAAATTGATCCAACTTTTGAAGTACCTAAAACATCACAGTTTCGCAGTTTTCACAAAATTCAAAAAACGAGTATCGCCACTTCAAAAAAAAAGGCTTAAGAAAAGGCACATACTCGGGCAATCGTAACTTGCGATATCTCGCTTCTTCTGGCAAGATTACACCAAGGTCCCAATCGCCACACGTTATGAAAGTGAATCGCGATTTCATCGAAATATCGTCATCAATTAAATTTGAGTCAACAAGCCATTTATGGAATGCAACCAAGACTTCTGGAAGAGTTTCCTGCTTTGCAACTACATCCTAAATAAAAATGTGGGTCATCGTAGTGAAGCTAAATAGCAACACATTTTTCCAAAAAAGAAAAGATATTGCAAATACCGATTTACCTGCACGATCCCAGTCAGTTCAGTGCAAAATGATGTTAAAATGGGGCGTTCCGTAGGTCTTACGTATCGATGAAACCGACCAACTTCTTCAAAGCTTTTCCCACACAAATGTATGACAGGGAATTCAATTATCTCCTGAAATATTAACGCAAGGGATTAGGCGCGAAAAGCGAAAAAAGAAAGCCAAACAAAGAATGGCAAACGAAAACTCGTGGCGGCTAGTTGGGCGACGACAGTAAATATCCGTATAAAAAGGATTCAGCAGCAGTGAAGTGACTGCATTCCCGTTGAGAAAAATGACGAGAACTGTATCGAAATAACTAAGAAAACGAATAGAGACTGCTGACCGACGTGTCAATGTCATCGCTCCTGCCCGCATGTCAGTCGCACAGATGTGAGGAAGGACGATTCGCAACTGTTCAAGTTTTCAGCCGTATTTCCCTGGAGTGTTTCTTCGACCCCCCGGAATAAGTGGCTCGAACAGCCAGCGCGTGAGAACTAATTAGCTCTGACTCTTCGTTTGCTGACAATCGTCTGTTCATAAGTTGCATTCACGAGAACGAGAACGATGATTCGGCAATCTCAGCAAAGGTAATACATGCACCAGTGTGAACTGCAGGCAGTAACCCAAAAGCTGATGAGCTGGCAGAGTTGCAGGCGGCGTGTCGCTGGATTTAGCAACAAATACTTCAGACG